CATGTTATTTTTCGTCTGGATGGTTCTGGGCGTGTTACGTGGCGAGCTGTGTGTTAATTTAGTAGTTGTTTAACTTATCCTTCCAAGCAAGGACATAAGTGTCCTAGATATCACACGGAAAGAGCTTTTCAGCGAAGGACGTGCTGACTGGTGTTGGGAAAGTGTGAAGATAATCACGCTCGCGGGATCGCGGGAGAGCATTAATTTCGACAGAAATATCCGAGCTTTGATTTGCACAAGAACTTTCGATCACGCCTTGTCCACAAACGCAGAATTTGATTTGGAAGATGGCGGACACCGCTTCACCAACAGCCCCAGCGGCACGGAAGCCAGCCTACAAGCGAATTTTGCACAATTTGAGGCATATTTCGGGCGACGAGAGCAAAGAATTGCTGCTTTATTTGGTCCTGACGATGTCGCTGTGGCTGGTCGGCCATTTTCACTTTAGTTTCGCTTGGATAATCATGATCCTGATGGTGTTTGTAAGCTGGGAGTTTCAAATGGATAAGAAGAAGAAACGAAGGGAACGTATGGAAAAAGCTCTCCAGACGTCATTTATCGACAAGATACAAAACTTGCCCTCGTGGGTCTATTTCCCCGAGAAAGAGCGCGCGGAATGGATCAACGGAATCATTGATCAAATGTGGCCATACGTGGGCGAAATGGTTTACAAAATCCTCAAGGAAAGCGTCGAACCCGAAATGCAGAAAAACATGCCTAAGGCATTGAATACGCTGTACTTCGAGACCATCGACCTCGGGAACAAGCCGCCATATGTCGCTAACGTGACATCTTATGACAGCAAAGACGAAAACAAGAAGTCTGAATTTATATTCGACATGGATTTGTGCTACAATGGCGACGCCACCATCAAGCTAGCGGTCAAGAAAGTCAAATTGGGCCTGTCGAACATTGAACTGCGAGGAATGCTGAGAGTTATTTTCAAACCCCTGGTTGCCGAATACAATCCTATCGGCGGGGTGACCGTGTTCTTCCTGAACAGGCCCAAGCTGAAATTCGACTTGACCAATTTATTGAATGTTCTGGATCTTCCCGGCCTCAAGAGCACTCTGCGCCGAATCACGGACGATGTGATTGCCTCGTTTGTGGTGCTTCCAAACCGCATTGCCATTCCGCTCGCCGCTGGAGTCGAGGCCAGCGATCTTCAATATCCAATCCCAGAAGGAGTTCTTCGCGTGAAAGTCGTGGAAGCGAGGAACCTGACCGCGAAGGACTTCGGCCTTGTGAAGAAAGGAAAATCAGATCCCTATGCCATTATTCGCATCGGTGCTCAAAGCTTCCGCACCAAAGTCATCAATAACAATCTAAACCCCGAGTGGGATGAGACCTTTGAGGCATTTGTTGACAACCAGGAGGGGCAAGAAGTGGAGGCAGTCATCTACGATGAGGACACCTCTTCAAAAGACAGCAAGATCGGTTCCCTGGACACTGACATTGCCTCCACAGTCGAGACAGGCTACAGAGATCTCTGGCTGCCACTTGAGGGTGTCAAACAAGGAAGGGTTCACTTCAATCTGAGTTGGTTCCCATTGAGTTCCTCTGCCTCTGACCTCAGGCCACCCCAAGAGAAGGGTCTTTCAGTGGCAGCGCTGTTTGTGAAGCCCATCTCAGCCCAAGCCTTGCCACTCACTTGTGGGCAGAAGGAAGCCCTGAGAAGCGTATATTGCGAGATCACTGTAGGCAAGACCACCCTTCAGACCTTCCAGTGCTATGGCGAGAAGACGGAGTGGAAACACGCTTTACGCTTCCTTGTGAATGACCCAGAGGGACAGGAGGCAGAAATCAAAGTAATTGAAGCCAAGGGCACCACCACCCTTGGTCAGATGTCGTTCAATATCCGCAGCCTGCTAAACAAGCAGGGTCTGGTCGCAGAGGAGGTGTTCCCCCTTGAGAAGTCTGGTGAAAAGAGTACCTTGACCTGCCGCTTCACTCTGAGGATGCTCAAAACACTGGATACTAAACTGAGTGAAACTGGAATGAGGTAACCTGCTGTAAGAACTGTTTTCTAGCTTGCAATTTCAATATAACAAAACAGGACTGGTAAAACAAAAATTAAATATTTTTGCAACTTAAAATTTAAGGTATTTTTGTTATAAAAAATTGGGGAAAAATTAAAGCAGACATTTACAGCTATTTACTGGTTGAAAACAGCTCCTGGCACTCCCAGAAACCAAAGATCAAGATTTCCATTCTCCTTAATGATTTCTGTAGAGTTCTTTCAATACTAGTTCTGAGAATTGAACTGCCCATCACTACAGCACTGTCAAGAAGTGTTGATGTTCTGTATTCTCTTCACTTGTGTATGTGGAATTATGTATTGATCAAGGCTGTCATTAAGGAACATAACCCGTAACACCTGTTGCGGCTGAGTATGCTTGATTTTCCCTTGATGCTACGGGTGAACTTCCCGGTTGTTGATTGAATTCACCCACAAAGTAACAAGTTTGCTTCGAGTGTGGAGAACAAGGCTACAGGTGACTTAAAACTTATTGATGGCCCTGTTGATTAACTACATAAGGAGAATTAAGATTTTCATATGTGCACCTCACAGGTTTCAATATGCATGATACAGCATTGCACTACAAGAAAATAATTGCATATTCAGTTGTGGTCCAATTCAAAGAAGATTCTCTAGAAAGTATGAATTCAGCTTCTTGTCTACATTTTTAATTCGTACCCCACAGGAAACGCATGCAGTTGATATTTGATGGTTTATAGCGAGTTTCAAACTTAAAAATGTTATGATTAATAAATACATTAACATCAAGATCATTCAGTTAATTTTTTGTGAGGTATGATGTGGCACTTTTTCCTTTCCCTTTTCACCTTAATTTAAATTATTATTTTCCTGGACAAATTCCCCTTCAGTTTTTTTGCTTGGGTGTTCTGTGGATACAAGGGTTAATTGGTTTTGGTGTTTCAGCTGAAAGTTGTAATGAAGCTCATAGTCCTAAACAGTTTTCACGTAATAGTCAATATATTGTAATCGCTATGTGATGAAATGCTCATTAAATTTCTGTTTGTGGTAGTTGTCTGTTTCACTTTTTGCTGGTGTTGGTTTCAAGTTGGGTGTGTACTTTTTCTGGCATTCTAATTAGCTTGAAGATGGCTTTGCCTCAATTTATTCCTCAAGAGATCACCAATAAGATTAACGGCTAACCCATCTCCCACTAACCTTCAACACACTTGTCACGCAAAATATTGCGTGACGAACCCTAGGCCATCTTTGTGAAAGGCTTATGTTTTACAAATCGATTTCTGCTCGAGAAAGTCGTAATGTTTTGTCAGTACACAATACAAAGGAAATGCGCGACGTGTTCATTTATATTTTTATCCTACTTGCGGTTATTTAATTAATAATAATAAGAGCTTTATTTACACTTGAACCTATATAATTGAACCTCCCATACAACCTCGTTTTACCAATCGAATGTCAGCCTGATACGCCAAAATGCAATTTTTCTTGTAGTGCAAATGCTACATCTCTTTACCCTTACGAAATCCAATGGTGTGTTTTGTGTTGTGTGACTGGAATTTAGTTCGCCTTCTATGCAGTTCAACGTGTGGTACTAATACGCGTGACTTGCGTTACAGTTTTCGCTGTTGTCGTTTGTTCGCGCGTGACTTCTGGTGTTAGTAGTGGTAATGATGATAATGATGAATATTTTTTTCCGAAAGTGCTGAAAAATACCGAGGTGTTCAAGATTACTCTTGTCACTTTCGTCAAAGTGCGCGCTGTATAATTGCGCTTTCGTTTGGATTCGTGATTAGTTCCTCTTTTCCCATGTTTTTCTCCTTTTCTTCTTTTCTCTCTCGAGGAAATCTACGCTCACTTTTCCTTGTAAATGGAGAGTCCAAGAGCATCTTACTTTACCATATAACGCTTATCTCACCTTGAAATAGAGCTTATAAGTTCCCCTGCTCACAATTGCCTAAGCTAACCTGTGTATAGCCGCCCACTCTTCACATATTTCATACTGTTATAATGGAGTTGCTAAGGTTTCATTTCCGCGAGAGGTTTCACTGCAGCCTGAGAACGTAAGCAGAGGCCCTTTTTCAGGTGCGGTAAATTCATCCTCTGGAGGATTGAATTTTCGCGCAAAAGTACCAACGAATCACAATCATTTCACGGAAGTCTATAGTGCTGCGTCATCGGTATGGAATTTTTCGCGTTGAATACTAGTGGTCCTTTGCCGGGGGGGGGGNGGGTTGTAGGGTGTGGAAATTGAGTACACCAATAGGGAGAATTAACTCAAGTTAGTATCAGTGTACGATTTGACCAATCGCTTCTGAGCTGTAGCTGATCTCACCATTGTAGGGACAGCGTCGCCGAAGTTGATTCGGGAGTCAAGAAGTGCGACATGCAGCCAATACCAAAGCTTGTTATCAATGGAGTCAGTCCGGATGAACAGCCTGAGGGCACTGGGCACGGGGAACACGACAAAGATTCCGACGCCGGAAGTGTGTATGACGGAAGTGTTTATGGTCCTGATAGCCATCATGGCGGCTCCAGGGAGGACCTGTCTACCAAGGGACACCTCGATCTACAGTTAAAGTAATAGTTCAGTAATATTCAGGAGGAAAATTAAGGGTTGATGGTATGAGAAAGTTGTTATGGATCGAGCCCTGGCCGGATTAATTGTGTTGTGTTCTTGGGCAAATTAAGGCAGAGTCCACACTGCGCCGGAGAAATTTGAAAACGTAGCTTTATTTCTACGGTTAGGCCTACCGTCCTATACCTAATCCGTCACGGAGACGGAGCAAAAACCCTCTTCTAAGCGGAGGAATTTTACAAACGCCGGCTTTTTGTTTTGGTGTGGACGGAAAACATTTTGAAAACGGAGCTTTTCGAAAACGGACGGCGTCACGATAATCACGTGATTTCCCATACCGAGTTTTTCTCAAACACAAATCCAAATTGACCGGTGATTGTTGCGGTTTTAAATTCCCCCGGCGTAGTGTGGACGAAAATATTTGAAGTGTTTTCATAGTGAAATCTCCGCTTTCAAATTCCTGCTGCGTAGTGTGGATGGGGCGTAACTTTATCAGGGCTTCTCTCCACCCTGTTGTGTAAATGAGTACAGGCAAACTGTTAGAACAGTCCGAAAAATGATTTTTGGGGGGCTGGACTAGATTTCATAGCTGTAGCGTATAGCTGAGCCACTGGGCTGGAACATACTTAACTATAGAACCATACGAAACGTTAAGTTCTTAAATCAAGGTTTTTACAACATGCGTTGTTTTGTCATGTTTGTGACCGCAGTTTGTTTTCTAGTTTTACTCAAGCTGAAATGGCCGAAGAATAAGAGTTTATACTTAACTATGCTTTAGTTCGTGATATGTTATGTTTGAAATAATTATGATTTTGTTTTCACACCTGTAATAGACGTGAAATGAAGAAGTAGCTATTCTTTTTATCTTTTTTATTTTCCAGGTACAGCCTTCTGAAGAACCGTCTTTACGTCACCGTGAAGAGCGTGCAGTCGCTGGTATCACATGACACCCCCAGTAATACCAATCCTCTGGTCCGCCTGTACTTGTTACCAGACCGCACCAAACGCACCCGGCGCGTCACCAGCGTACTCAAGGGAACCTTGGACGGAGTGTTCAACGAGACCTTCGAATACATTGTCGGTCTCGATCAGCTGCGAAACATGAAGATAGAGGCCACTGTGAAGAGCGACCGCGGTTTCACGATTGGGCGGGCGCGGAATCGCCTGATCGGAACCGCTGTTGTGGATTTGTATGAAAAGGCTCTCACTCAAGGATGCGACATCAGCTGCGAGCTGAGGAAGTTTAGCCCTACGTCTTGAATAGTCAGTGAGTATGGAACGCCTAAGCTAAACGAAAGTGTATCAGGAGCCCATCACTAGGAGCGTGCAATTCCCATACTAATCCTATGTGACGGCATTTTCACAGACCAGTCTATTTTTAGGCTTCTTTTCCCGCGAAATAGGTCAGTTCCGGTCTACATGAGCGCTCATCGGTAAGAAAAAAAACGCGGTTTTTCTTTTTAATCTACCGGTGAAGTGATGACATCAGTTAAAAAATAGGTCCGTGTTTGTGATTGGTCACTGAGGTTCCTGGGGGGGTCTGAATTCGCAGTAAATTCAAAATAAAAATACATCGGTCTGTGAAAACGCCGTGACAGGAACATGGTGTAGTTGCACTCTCCTAGTGATGGGCACCTCAGGGTCTAGAATGGTTCTTAGTAAGCAAAGAGAAAACTGGCTCTATATTTTTCATTCAAAAAGGGTAAACTAGTGAACCTTAGTATTTCCGCATGTAATACTGACTTAAGGAGCTACGTCACAGTTGGCGCATCTTGAAAAATTTAGCCAATATTTTTCAAGTTCGTCGTTTATAATCCATGCTAATCTTCTCCATCCTTAACCATCCTTGTTCCCTTATGGTTTACTATTATCTCTTTGTTGTTTTTCTTTAACAAATAAAGAAGCCTAACCCGTGTTTTAAACTGATAAGACACGACGGGCATTGAGAATACGAGGGATTTGTAGAAAACACTCGCCTGCGGCTCGTGTTTTCTACATTTCTCGAGTGTTCTCAAATGTCCGCAGTGTTTTATCACACTGTAATACACGGCGTAGACTTCTTCATTTGTTTTATGATATAGATTTTACACGCGAATAACAATAAAACACGCTTTTTCTATGTTTTACACTCGGATAAAACATGGGTGTTTGACCAATCAGAGCACGATCAGGGTCCTATCTATATTATAATTCTTAGTAAACTACTATTTTCAGGTTTCCTTCGATTTAAAAGTGGTTTTGCACGTGGCCAAAATAACTCAAAATACCGTGACTGAGCTCTTTTAAATAACGACTTTTTTATGTAAACTCCGTCAACAAGTTACAGTGTCCAAGCTGGAGAACAGAACGGGAAAGGAGGAAAGAGAGACGAGACAGAGCTAGGAGCAGTTTCATGAAGAATTCTGCGTGTTTTCATAAATAAGTCCAGTCTACGCAGGTGGAAGCAGGTGCCCGTGTGCAGAAATTTTCCACAGTCACATAGCAGGAGGAATTTAGTCTCAATACCTTACTGCGCACGCGCGATAGAACCGTTCCGTTTCTTGGTGCTGATTGCGAACGAGTTTAGCTGTCTCTCTCTGCCCAGTTCCCTTGTCTGATTTGTAGCTCGGCTGCGCGTTTCTAGATGTTTTTACACTAAAAAGGGAGGTTTTGTATACTTTTATGCACACAAACACAGTAGCGTATATGCAACAACAGTAATCAAGAAGATATTTTATGCAGGGAAAGTTGAAAGTTTTAAATTCTAGTAAGATGTACTAAGTCGTTTTTATTAACCATGGTTCGTGGTTTGAATGACACAAATTCAAGAGCAAAATATTTTAATATTCTGAACAGATTAGAGTATTTTAACTTTCCTAGAAAGCAAATCCTTAAATTAAATCTACACGAAGTTTATATGTATAAGTATTGAGGTTGCCAAATAAAAGACACATTTTGTAGCTGTGTAAACACGCGTTAGTCTTACGGTTTCTTTAATGTGATTGCTAGTGATTTTGAAAGAGAGATTCTGGTAAAGCGTTCCCAGAGTGCGACTGTCTCGTCCCCAGGCTTCCCACGTTGTGCATGTGGAGTTATGGACATGCTGCACTTGGAGGGAGTCCTTCTCTTTGTCACGCAAGAGGTCAGAGAGAGGACTAGAACTGGACCATCCGAAAGCCTGGAATGTGATGGCTCGAAATAGAACCTAAGGACAATGTCACAAAGGGGGGCAGGGGGATTCTTACTATTCGACAGATAAAACCAAGTTGGGTTGACTGTAGGATAATGTAAAGATTTTTCCAAAACAGCAAACCAGTGGAAAGAGGTGGCGCCTTTTGTTTTATTATCCAGTTTCCGGTAATTGTTTTCCGTTGATGGAGACGAGAAACTGGAGAAACGAGCAAATGGTAAGGACATTCCTGACCTCCCATTCTGAACAGAAAAATAAGAGTATTTCTAGAGAGGATCCACAATTTCGGGACAATATTTCCGATGGTTTTAGGCTAAATGGCGCTAAATGGAAAGCACCGCCACAAATGACGGAAAAGTCCTCGTATTTTTTCTTTGGCTATTTCGTGATTTTGATTCAGCTGTTTGCAATCTGTGTTATTCCAACTGGCGCACCTCACGTTGCAATATTTTTCTTTTGTCATTTGCTGCCATTCGTAGTTTGGATTTATCATTGTCTCCGTTTATCATTTTTGTCCCGTTTACTTTGACGGTACTTTCCCGTACTCAAATTTTCAATTAGCCAATCAGAAGCCGTGTCTACTGTCTTGATATCCTGCGATATCAAGTCACTGACCATCCTCGGAGACCCAGGGGCTGCCAGCCCCTGGGAATTTCGAATTATGTTTGAAATTCCTTTTGAAGGCTGGTTTCCACTGATACAAATTAACTCTGCTGTTGTATTCGAATTTCTGGCGGCAGAATTGCCTTGGTGTACGGGCAGGGATTAATAAATCCTCGTCATCAAAGCAGGTCACAAAAAGAAAGGAAAGGAAATTAATATCAGCTAATATCACCATGAGTTTTGTAGACAAACGCATTTCCGGGATCACACGAAGTGGAAAAGTACTTGGCCGTAATCGATTCTCTTTTTCCCTTTTCTCAGAGAGGCGAAAAATTCTGTGTTTTATTCACAAGGGAACGATCAGAAACAAAAATAGACTCTCATGTTTCTTGTCTGTTTTGTTTTGTTTTATTTTATTTTTTCCGCTATGAATT